GAAGAGGAGAGGAATAAAGCAAAATACAGCCTTATCTGTGATAACAGAACATGGCAAAGACCTAGTTATTACACAGTGCTACAGGAGAAACTAAGAAAAAAAAAAAAACAGCCACAAAAGCAAATCCCATCACCTTTATATAAGTCTCAAACTTTTTGAGTTTATGCCTACAAGAGCTTTAAGATAACACAAACCACGAATTCATCAACAGAAAGTTTTGCATTAAAAAGGTCACAAAGAAGGGTTACTTTCTATAAAAGCTAAATAAATCTTGTTATTTCAAATTCCCATAGAATCAGAATCCAACTCACTGACACAGGCAGCACTTAATGTGTATGCAAACTTGAACACACAAATATAATTTTCAAGAACTAGCATAGAAACTTTTTTCCTGGAACAAAGATTTAAATATCTGATCTCTCTCTTTGGAGGTAGAAAATTAAAGTGCATATAAAAGGCCCTATTAGATATCCAGAGGATATTAGCCCCTTTCAATGTAAGCAAACAGGTGCACAAATGTGTGAAATACAAGAAAGAACAGAAAGAATGAAACAACGTAAGTTGTGCCACAAACACATGAACTGATCTCCTGAAAAAGGAAAAAAAAAATCACACATGGACAGTCAAGGTATTATGTTCAAAAGTCCCCTGAAACAAAGAACAAATTTTAAGACTCCTTTAATTAGTGTATCCTAGTTCCATAAATATTTTTCAATCTCCACAATGAATTGTAGACAAGTAAATTATTCTGCAGCTTCATGCAGCATTTTTCTAAAAGACATCAATTTTACAGCCTTCCTGGAAAAAGATTTGAGTGTCCTATAAGATCAGACACCATGAGATTGTTTAAAATTGCATGCTCTATTCCTTCAGCTTACACCTCAAAGCCAGATATATTAATGTGGTACATGAACACCTCATTTCCGTTACATTTCATATTTTTTATGTCACTTCCTTACAAATAGTTTTTCTTATTGAACAATAGTTAAGTCACTTAGAGAAAATACATTCTCTACATGTCAGAAGCAGAATCAAAAGCTTTGAATCTGGTCCTCTTGGAACTTCAGTAATTCCCGTTTTGTAACAGCCAGTTTCCATTTCCATTATTCCTGACTGACCGATAGACTGACAGATGTCTTACTTTAGAGATCCCAAACAGACTATTGGTATCTATTTCAGCCACATCTGTTCCTAAATAGCCTTGGCAACAGGCCACTATGCACTCGGAATTAATTTTAAGTCCTTTATTGCTGACTCTTTCACTGTTGAAATACACCAGTGATTCTTTTTCCTTATTGCTGCACTTACATAGAATCTCTATAAATCTGTATTTTAGATTAATATCAACAAGAACTATAGCATACTGTAGATAAGAATAGTATACTTAAAGAATATATTGATTAGTTTTAATTCATTATAATTTTTTAAAAAATTTTATTTTATGCATTATAAAAAAATATATTTAATAGTACATTAACCTCTGGATTGCTCCAAGATTTTATTTTCTTGTTCATTAATTAATTTAAAAATTATGTTTAATACTTATACTTAAAAAGCAAGTTTCATCCAAATTATTACTATTATTATCCAATTAGCCCAGCCTGCAAGCTGTCAGTCAGAGAATAAGTTCACATACCATTCAGTTTAGTACACAAACAAGAAATTACACATATCAAGTTTTTCATAATGATCAAAATCCTCCAGACTTTACATACTGGTAAAGCACTGGACAAGTGCCAGTCTTGGTACACTTCCTACCTGACAGAAATCTGCTGAAAAGCTGCAATTATTGTTAACTGGGAAACTCTGTAGTAAACTTTAAAAACATGCTGGAGGCTTTAAAAATTATCAGAATTAAAGTCTTTATTTAACAACAAAAAAAAAAGCCATATGATAAAGAGGATACAAATGATCTTCTGGGAACTTATAAAAGTCACATATAATATTCAAATCTGTACTTAAGATAGTTTTCTCTGCTACAGTTTTCAAGCAGCACTCAAAATGTTAGAACCTCCACAGTTCAGGGCTGGATTATTAATAGAGAAGTCTTGCCTTTTTCTTAATTTCTGTGATTATGTTTATACCATAGGAACGCCACATAAAAAGAAGCTAGAGAAAACAACTACCAGCTACTGACTGTGAGCTCTGCTTCTCACTGGGGTACCCAGTGCAGTGTTGGAAGCAAGCAACCAGCTATGGGTCAGAGGGGCTCTGCCTCCAGAGAGGAGAAAAGGCTCAGCTGAGCTGCACACCCAGGCTGGAGCTGCAGCCTTTCCCAGGGGCAGCTGAGCTGGGCCCCACACTTGTCCACATTCCCACCTGACACACTCACTCCCCAGCTCCACACCCTGACACCTGCCCAGGACTCGCTTCTGCCATAAGCTTTGTCAAAATGAATAACACACAAAATTCATCATGGGTCACGCTTATTTGAGAGGTAGGAACTTTGCTGTAGAGTGAACAACAAAGGAAGCCATCACAAATCATCAGCAAGCATGGGTAGCCAAAAACCTCTCGGAGATGGAAGCTGCAGATACCCAGGACAGAGTAATGAAGGAAGTCCTCCTGATAACCAGGCTGCCTAGAGCCCCACAGGAACAGCACAATGGAGCAACTACACATACATCCCTGTGACATGACAGGGCCCGGGCACTGCAGGTGGCCCCTGCTTGGGAACTCTGAGCTGCAGCTTGGAGCTCTGGTAGAACCTGGAGGAGCCAAGGCTGCCCAAACTACCACGTGTAAAAACAAACAATCAGAATGGCAGAGCTGTGGAAGACAAAACATAACTTCAGCAAGACAGGAATTCATCTGGACAACTATGGGGGATGGGAGGTTACTCTGATTTTGACAGACTGTAGCAATTGCCATAGAAGAAACATCTCTCCCTAAAATAGGAAGAATTGCTACATACAAATCCAAGCAAGAGACTTTCAGCAGCACTTGCAAAGCGTGAAGACCTGGCTTGACCTCTCAGAGCCCAAGGCAAACTACATTGGTTGGAGAGAGCATGCACAAGCCAAATCCCAGTGGAGAGACGTGTCCAGAGAGCCCTTAGCCATCTCTGAACACTCACTGCTGTGCTTAGCTACGAATGAGACCTCACCACAGATGGCTCCTCCCAGCACCAGAACAGAACACCCCAGGGTAAATGCTACTAGGAGCCAAGAATGAGGGAGAGAAAAAGCATTCAAGCTCCAGAATTCACGTTTGACTGCTGCAACTGCAGCCTCTCAAAACTGAAACCGTTCAGCAGCTCATTGCCACAGAGTATAAAATCAAACTATCAGAGAAAGACGTTTCAGTATATATTTATGTTCAGTAAAAGCCCAAATCCTGATAAAACTGGCAGCAGCTTGTCAGTGCTGCTTTCCATAGGACTCCTGAAGTCCTGCCATCTGCTATAGGTCTGACTTTAGGCACCACTTACTTCATTACCTTTCAGGAGCTAGCCATGAAAAGTTTCCAATGTCTGTATGACAGCAGAAACTGAGAGGGATTAATTTTTCCTGGGAAAATAAACAAACCAAACCAGTCAAACAAAAAAAAAAAAGCCAAAAACACACAAATCCCAAACCACAGAATATACTCCCTATCTCTGGACCAAGGAGCAATATATACCAAAATTTATTCTTCCTGTCTGCACCTTAATATCCCTCACTGGTGACAATTACAAGACAATTACAAGACAATTACAGACTCTAGTTCCTGATATATGGCAATTCAACCTACATTAAAGGAGGCAGAACAAAAAGTGACACTCTTATTAGAGCTCTACACACAGAACTAAATAATTAATAAATCACATTACATACACAGAGACCTGTAGCTAGTCCCCAAGGGGAAGGAAGAGAACCTTCAGCACTAACAGCATTACTGAAGGCGCCCAGACTGGCTCCCCAAGAGGAAGGACTGCGCACCCACACCGGGTGCAGGGGTGATCAGAACTCAGCCGTCCTGCTGAAATGCAGGTATTTAAGCGTGAGTATTAAGCATTTAAGCATTAACATGGTTACACTATGCAGAGGAGAGGAGTCAACAGCAGGGCATGACTGTGTATTTGTTCAGTTTCAGTAGCTCCAGTATCCCAACACGGTTACATTAAATGAACCATATTGACTTCATCGGTGAGCAGCTGACTACTTCTTTGCTTCTCTAAATGCTGACTTTATGGCTAGGAGATCTTACCTATAGGAACTTTCTGTCCAATACACTGCTACAATAAACGTGGTATTTTAAGCCTGGACAAGCTAACCATGCCATCCCGGAAGGCAAACACGCTGCCTGGAAACTGCATTCCTGAATACAACTTTGATTTCTCTTTCATGTGAGCACTGGGAGGTCACTGAAATAAACAAGCACCTTTAGGAGTGTGTACGCAGTTTCAAAACTAGATATATGTTTACACAGTTTCTAGGAGAAAAATATCTATTTGGATACGTTCAAGCAGCATTCCTTTGCTTCTTAAACTTTTGTGTATGATTTGTTTCACTCGATCAAATCCTTTAGCCACACTTTCTCAGCGTGTTGCCGTGTGAACACCATAGAGCAACGACGACCTGCAACACAAGCCTCGGCATAAAACTCAGGCACACCCCGCAAAACCACACTCTTTTCTCTGTGCTCTAGTTTGTGTACCTGCCAAAGAGTATAAGCCAGGAAAAGTTGATGCCGCAGAAACAAAATCAAATCCTCTTATTGTTCTGCCTAGGGCTAAGAGGCCATAAAAGCATCCTCTCTACCTTCTGTCCCTTTCGTATGACCCACCGAGAAGACAAGACTTGCCAGAAAGAGCTGGTTCAGGTACAAGACACTCAAAGCGTTAGGAACAATTTTTTTTTTCTTTTCAGTCAGCAAAGTAAGCTCGAAGGGAGCAGAGGTGCCCGGCAGCGCTGCCTTCAAGCACTTTTCCGCAGTGCCGGTTCGGGCGGCTCTGCCCCGCGCCGCCCGCAGCGCCCCGGCCCGGGCCGACACCCCTGCCCCGCCCTGCCCCGTCCCACCTGTGGGGCTCTCGGGCAGGATGGGGCTCCAGCGGAGCCGCCGGGCGCTCAGAACCACATCGCAGCTCCTCTTGTCGATCTCGAAGATGCCCCTGAGGAGCGGCTCGTCCCCCGCCCGGGCGGCCGTGGCCGCGGCCAGCGGGGCCACCCTCCGTCGCCGCTCCTGGGGCGCGGCCCGGGCGCGGCTCTGCGGGCGGGGAAGCGCGACAGCGCTGGTGCCCGGGCTCTTTCACCGCTCCGACCCGCGGGAGCGGCATCACGGACGCGACGGTGGCGGCATGGCAGCGACGGGCGGCGGCGGCGGGGGGCGGCCGCGCTCCCGCCTGCGCC